TCATTGGTGTTAGTTGTCCTCAGTTTCATCACTTTGGACTTGTCAGGGTAAATTCTGAGCCCAACGCTTCTGGCTGTCGTTCAACAATGTCGGTCTTTTCTTGGATGCCCTGCTGATCATGCACGAGAAGCACCAGGTCATCTGCAAAGTCTCAGTCCTCAAGCTGAGCAGTCGGTCCCCATAGCACTCCCCTTGATCTGCCCTCAGTGGCTCTGCGCATCACCCAGTCGATGACCACAAGGAAGATAACAGATGAGATTACCCAGCCTTGTCTGACCCGTCTTCACGTGAAACCAGTCACTCTGCTGTCCATCATGTCGCACACAGCATTGATTCCCAGCGTACAGGTCCTTCAGGATGTTAATGATCTTCTCGGGGAACCCATATGCTTGTAGAATCCTCCAGAGTGAGGGGTGGTGGATGTTATCAAACACCTTCTCAAAATCGATGAAGTTAATGTAGAGCGAAGAGTTACACTCTATTAACTGCTCTACTATGGTGCGTAGGACGAAGAGCTGGTCCGTGCATGACCTTCCACTTCTGAAGCCAGCCTGTTCTTCTCTGAGGATTTTCTCAATGCCCTTTCGCATTCTCTGTAGCAGGACTCTACAGAAAATCTTTTCTAGCACAGACAGCAGATTAATGCCTCTCCAATTCCCGCAGATGGACAGATCGCCTTTTTTGGGTAACTTCACAATGATGCCCTTCTTCCAGGCCTCTGGTACCCTTTCTTCTTCTCAGACCATGTTGAGGAGACCCTTCAGAGCTTTTGCACTTGCCTTGAGGTCTGCCATAAGCATTTCAGCAGTGATCTGGTCTTCCTCGAGCGCTCTGTTGCCCTTCGTCTGTTTGATAGTGTATGCTATCTCCAGCTCACTGATGTCCCCACATTCCATGTCTACTTGGCGGTTCATACTTCTAATGTCAGCCTCTTCCTCTGGGTCTGGTCTGTTGAGAGTCTCCCTGAAGTGTTCCATCCACCTGCTGAGCTGTTCTTTTGCTATCACCAGCATTTTCCCGTTCTTGTCTCTTACTACAGTAGACTTGTTGGTAAAGTCTCCTATAAGAGTCTTGGTGATCTTGTACACTGTCCTAGTATCACCTCTGTCTACTGCTAACTGGGCCTCCATGGCAATATTGTCCACATAAGCTCTCTTATCTCTTCGTACACTTCTCTTCATGGCAACGTTTAGGTCCCTGTAGACCTGTACAGCTGTTATTTTATCTTCGTCACTGCCTGCAAGTGCTCTTTTTAACCGCTTTTCTGTTCTCAATGAGCTGCCATGTAGCATCTGAAATCCACTCCCTTCTCTGTTTCTTCTTGTACCCCAGTACAATCTTGCTGGTTTCCAGGTATACCTTCTAGATCTCCTCACAGTGATATTAATATCATCTGCTATCAGGTCTTCGAGCAGGCTGAATCTGTTGGACAGCTCTAGAGTGAACTGAATCTTCACTGTTGGATGTTTTAGTCTACTGGAGTCAAAGAGCTGGCCACCAGTCTTTCTGTCTGTCCTTTTCAGCCATTTCAGCTTGAGCTGCAGCTTGCAAAGAAGAAGATGATAATCGCTGTTGGCATCTGCTCTTCTAGGCGCTCGGACATCTCTCATGGATCTTCTCCACTTCTGGTTGATAGCAATGTGATCAATTTGATTACAAGTCCTTCTATCTGGAGTATGTGAGATAGGACTCTAAAAATTCAAATAAAAGTAGTTTATGGCTTGAAAAAAGAAAATAAATAAATGTTTCCAAAAGCAGCATTAACTTCTGCTGCACACTCTGATCTCCATCAGCAAGGTCACTGGGGATGTGTCTATATTGCACCCACAGCTCAAAATAAGCTACGCAATTTGGGCTATTCAAACTACATAGCTTATTTCAAGTGAATTTCAAAATAGCTTATTTTGAAATTTGGCACTGTCTACACAGTGCCAAATTTTGAAATAGAACGCTATTCCAAAACATCCCTTAATCCTCATGGAACAACATTTACAGGGACGTTGGAATAGCGAGCCTGTTATTTCGAAAGCCATTTCAAAATAACAGGGTTGTTTAAAAGACAGAGAATATCTATTCTGGGATACTGAAAGTATCCCAAAATAGTGCCGCTGTCTAGACACACAGAGAATGATTTATGGCAGCAAAGTTGAGCCAAAGATTTCACTCATGTTAAGAATAGGTCTGGGAGCAGCGTGCTACCAGCATATTCGCCTATGACTGTCTGGAGACCTATGAGACACCCATTGAATTTTCTGATGATCCTCTTTTTGCAGGATTTTAGGTGAGGTACCTGTTTTTCCTCTCCCTCTTCCACTTGAGCCAATTGGGAAGTGCTTCACTTAAGTCACTGAATAGAAAATTATATAAAGCCAGGATGACAACAGGCCAGTTCTTCAAAAGATGCACCCCAGGAGTTCTTGGAAGATTAAATGTTGTGGGGTTTGTGATGGATATCTGTAGTGTTTGTAGCTAGGGAAGTTGAATGTAAGATTGAATTTTCATATTCATACAAAACTGATACTTAAATAACCATCAGATTGTGATCTCTCTCCCTTAAATGGTCAGTTTTCAATTTATAATGAAATTGAACCTCATTTATCTCAGTTTAATTTTTAAAGATGACAAAACATCAATAGTATTTAGTCTTTTAATTTCTAAAAGAATGTAGAAATACCACCAAACCCTATGTTGCTTTCATGAATCTGGCCTAACAGATTGTATTGTTAATTCCAGTCTGGTTTTTAGAGAAAGAAATGATTGTCAGATTCATTATTATGTTATTAAATGGGTTTTTGCTAAATTAGTCAGGGATTGGGAAACATTCTTAGGATGAATGGTAAGTGGCTTAATCACTTATTTGCACTTTGTATCACCAGAGGGCTCAGGTAAACCATGCAATTGGATTTGCAGTTGCCAAGCAGCTAAAAAGTCTGAAGAGGAAAGAGATGAAAAGGGTTCCCAAAGTATTGAACTAATATGTGGAAATAGTCACTGTTTGGACAAAGAAAGAGTTAAGACTAGTTGAGCAGAGACTGATATTGAGCCTTATTTTAATCTTTATTACTCTATTTTAAATCAGTCACGTAAGTGGCACTGGTGTAAAACTTATGCAGGATTGATCAGGATTAGGGCTATAACCTTAGGAATGAGGTCAAATTTTTAAAACTAAATTAAAATATAAAATTTACAGTAAAGTTAGAAGCTAGAATAAATTATTTTTAATAAGTAAAACATGCACAACTGGAGTTCATGTTTGCCAAATATGACATTAGGGCTGGTCATTTTTACAGGTCACAGAAAAGTGAAATCGTTGGTGCTTCACTTAGTCAACTCTAACAATGATTTAATACATCACTCTTCAGTCAGGGTATGTCTACACTACCCCACTAGTTTGAACTAGCGGGGTAATGTAGGTATACCGCACTTGCAAATGAAGCCCGGGATTTGAATTTCCCGGGCTTCATTTGCATAAGCCGGGCGCCGCCATTTTTAAATCCCGGCTGGTTCGAACCCCGTGCCGCGCGGCTACCCGCGGCTCGAACTAGGTAGTTCGGACTAGGCTTCCTAGTTCGAACTACCGTTACTCCTCGTGGAATGAGGGCTTCATTTGCAAGTGCGGTATGCCTACATTACCCCGCTAGTTCGAACTAGCGGGGTAGTGTAGACATACCCTCAGAGCATAAGAACAGCCATACTGGGTCAAACCAAAGGTCCCTCTAGACCATGGGTTTAGACCAAACTGTTTTTTGCTCAACAAGTTTTGCTGCTGGGGAAGGCATGAGGGTTTCTCAAAAATCAAAAAGGGTACGTGATGCCAAAAAGTTTAGGAACTGCTCTAGACCAGTATCCCATCTTCTGGCAGTGGCCAGTGCAATATTTCAGAGGGAATGAACCAGGGGTGAAGGTAACTTAAATTTCTTACAGATACTATCCTATCAATCTGCCCGTCCCTTTGAGGGGTATAAGGTTGGAGGTAGGGGAGTGCATGGCCATACAATAGTACCTGTAAGATATTTAAGTGTGGGGTAGACTGTGTGTGGGGGAGAGGGGAAGACTCATGTTAGAGGGTTCAGATGTGTGTGAGGTACAGAAGTTAGGGCTGAGGAATCTCTTCAAAGCAGGGAAAACTGCATGTGTTTTAGACTGAACAGTTGGGGGTGCCTGTTGCTGCTGCAGAGTAGTGCAAATATAAGAAAATAAGAACGGCTGTATTAGGTCAGACCAAAGGTTCATCTAGCCCAGTATAGTATCTTCCAACAGTGGCCAACGCCACGTTCCCCAGAGAGAATGAACAGAACAGACAAACATCAAGTGAATCTTCTCCTCTGACAGACAGAGGCCAGGGACTCCATTACTACCCATCCTGGCTAATAGCCATTGATGGCTGTATCCTCCATGAATTTATCTAGCTCTTTTTTATATATCCTCAGTTGACTTGTCCATACTGGTTTCTCTCTTTTATTGTGTCAGCTGAATATTTCTAAAACAATTCTGTTGGAAAATTAAAACTGATTTTCCAGTACAATTTGTTTGAAGCTATGTACTAGACCACTAAAAGTTGCATCTGAAAGGCTGTGTCTAGACTGCATCCCTTTTCCGTAAAAGGGATGCAAATTAGACATATCGCAATTGCAAATGAAGCGGGGATTTAAATCCCCCCCACTTCATTAGCATAAAAATGGCTGCCGCTTTTTTCCGGCTCGGCCCTTTGCCGGAAGAAAGCGCCAGTCTAGATGCAGATCTTTCAGAAAATAAAGCCTTTTCCGAAAGATCCACGTCTAGACTGGCGCTTTCTTCCGGCAAAGGGCCGAGCCGGAAAAAAGCGGCAGCCATTTTTATGCTAATGAAGTGGGGGGGGGTTTAAATCCCCGCTTCATTTGCAATTGCGATATATCTAATTTGCATCCCTTTTACGGAAAGGGGATGCAGTCTAGACACAGCCAAAGAGTGACGACACCTAGCAAGCATGTGTCAACAGTGTGCATGTCTTCATTTTTCAGGTAGGAAAATGGGAGAACAAGACCCTAAGCCTGAGGTATTCTGTGTGGCCAAGATTTAGTTCTTTCGCAGACAGTGACCCTGATGACAACCACTTGAGTATTGTTACCCTGGAGGAGGCTCCATTTGTCATAGTTGAGGATATGGATCCTTTGACAGAAACTTGTGTAAAAAATACGGTGCCATGTCGTAAATTTGTCAAAATTAAGTAAGTATAAATTTTCTTGCACAATGTTTTCAAATACATCTGATCTTTAGCTTTGTTTTCTTCCCATCAATTCTTTCCTTTATTTTGCATTTTTTTAAATATATTTCAATTTTCTCTTCTATTTTTCTCTTCTCCATTCCTTCTGCATTTCTTTCTTTTGCCCCATGATTCATGTCTTTGTACACAGTTTTCCTTTCTGTAATTTGGACGATTATACAATTGAGAGTGAATAATATTATTTACATCATAGTAAATCAATATCTGGATAAGACGTTCACAGTAAATTCTCAGTCATGAAGACTTAGGCTATGTCTAGACTGCAAGTCTCTTTTGAAAGAGGCTTTTTCGAAAGATACTTTCAAAAAAGCTTTTAAAAAAACAGTGTTTAGACTACAACCAGTACTCTCGAAAAAGCAAGCCACTTTTTCGAAAGAGCATGCAGGCAGTCTGGATGTTCTTTCAAAAAAAGCACAGTTTGCATTATATAGCGCCTTTTTTCAAAAGAGCACTTTTGAAAAAAGGCATTCTTCCTTGTAAAACAAGTTTTTTCTACAGTCGAAAAAACTGGCACGTTCCTCTGATTTACTTTTGAAAGAATGCTGCTGCAGTCTAGACACAGGGGAAGTTTTTTCTAAAAAAGGCCACGTAGTCATTTGAGTCATATAGACATAGATTCCACTCCTGGGAAAAGGTTAACATGGGCTCTTAAAACTGATTTAAGAATGTTCAGTCATGTTGAAATTCTCCTGGTTTGATGAATCCTCTGACAGTGGCAGATGTATAATATTATACAAACTACATCTTTTTAGTAAGGGAAAACTCTGTGTTATGCTTATCAGACTAAGGTTCCCAGGCTCTATTGCTGCCTCTGTTTGTGATTTTCTCTGGAATATTGGACTTGTCATTAAGGCTAATCCAGTGCCATACTGGTCAATAGGAGGAAATATCTCATTGTTTTCAGTAGTGTTGAATCAGGCCCTTAACCCAGCTGTGACTATCTACATAACAAAATGGCTGTGTCTACAATTCCGAAGTCTACATTAGCATCCCTCTTCCGGAAAGGGGTGTCAATGTAGACACAGCCAATGAGTGTAATAGTAAAGGCATTTACCAACCTCACTGGAATGTTATGAAGTTCAACCAATATTTGCATATTTAAAGGGATGGTCCCATATTCAAACCCTTCTGCAGGTGTCCCTTTTTTTAAAAAAATGGGTAAATTGCGCAGTTCACCTTGGTGGTATGTAGTATCTTCTGTTTTTCATAACTGAATTGGTTGGTTCTTTCTGTCATCTTATCAGCAACTCAACTAATGAAGGAACTAACATCAAGAAATGTTGCAAGGGATTCTGCATTGACATCCTGAAGAAGTTATCTAGAACTGTGAAGTTCACATATGACCTATATCTGGTGACCAATGGGAAGCATGGCAAAAAGGTCAATAATGTATGGAATGGAATGATTGGTGAAGTAAGTTCTGTTAGGTAAAAACTCTTAAGTAAAAACTTGTCAAACAAGTGCTTGAATTAATTTGGGGAAATAAGGCATACCACGTAAGGGTAACATTGTTGATTTCTTCTCTTCATGTCCCTTCTCTTTCTGGATCAGGTGGTCTATCAGAGAGCAGTTATGGCTGTCGGTTCTCTTACAATTAATGAAGAGCGTTCAGAAGTGGTTGACTTCTCAGTACCATTTGTTGAGACTGGAATAAGTGTCATGGTGTCAAGGAGCAATGGTACAGTTTCTCCATCTGCATTTCTAGGTATGTTATTTTCTCTTTCCAGATCAATTTAACTGAATTTCCAAAGACTTTGACAGTTTTTGATATACAGGCAGTCCCCGGGTTACATGGATCTGACTTACATCGGATCCCTACTTACAAATGGGGTGAGGCAACCCCGCACTAGCTGCTTCCCCCCAGCAGACCAGAGAGATGCGGAGCGGCTTTTCTCAGCAGACACCTCAGCTTGAGAATAAAGGACTGAGGGAAGTGAGGTGTGGGAGAATAAAACTGAGCTCTGGAGAAATGTTTGGCTAGAGTTTCCCCTACAATATGTACCAGTTCCGACAAATTCAACTTAAGAACAAACCTATAGTCCCTATCTTGTATGTAACCCGGGGACTGCCTGTACCTAAGTTTTCTGTGACACACTTCTGTCACTTTTTGACTTGTTAGAAAATTTGGACAGCAGACTTATCTATTAATGTATGTGAGGTGCACTACATACCAAGGAGGGAATTTTAGCTATTTTGGGTGCATTAGTTAAGAACCAGTCAATTAACTTCACTATAAATACATTTCTCAAAAATAGTTTCCTGTAGAGAATTACCTCTTAAAATTATGTTCTGGCTGCATAATATTTATCACCCTATATGCCATAATTAGTTCCCCATCTCTTATATTTTGTAAACTCAGTATTAATAAGAGAAAAACCTTCTGGAGTGAATGAAAAAAGAATTAATGTACAGTGAGATTAAATTCTAGTTGACAACACAAGGATGTGACTTTAAATACTAAAAAATAATTTGCATTAACTGAGTAACATACAGAACCTAGTTAACTTCTGAGTCAATTTTCCATTCTGCGTTCTGAATTTTGCAGAGAGATGAAGAATGGAGACATTGAAGGAAAAGCAAATCATAGTATAGGAAAGTGATAAGACTCGGGGATTAAATTCTTCTATTTTCTTTCTTTTCCCTCAATCTTGCTATATATTTCTTTCATTTTATAGCTTTTCGTTTTATTTTTCCCTCTCCTCCCCCTATTTACCTTCTTACCTCAGTGTCTCTGCTTCTCATAATTGGGCTAAATTGTAGCTGAAGTAAATAGAATCATCTCCATCTACAACTGATAAAGAGAGTGATTAAAAATGCTATAAGGTATTCCCCAGTCTTTCCAGGGCAGAAAATGCACCTTCTGAAATATTTTACATCCTTATCTCTCATGGATTCTCCTCTCTGTAGAATTTGCATGTTACAGTGCTGCTTTCAGGGACAGGACTGGAGGAAAATAATGTCAATATTATCGGCATTGGAAATATTTAAGGAAAACTGTACAGAACTGAAATTCCCCAGGAAATGTAAAGTAAAAGTTTAACATGTACAGACCACATCCATCAGTGCAATAATGATATAAATAATTTGGTGTCTTGCAATAGCATTAAATTTGCAATAGTTCTCATGTTTTCCAGTGAAGCTACAACTAGTTATCACGAAGTACCAGATAATATTGTGTGGGGGTGCAGGGTTTAGTTCACTCCTATACTCTACCTAAACTCTTGTGCAATTTTGCAATAGAGAGAATTTCACCCTCTGTAAATAACTAGAATTAATCTACTGGTTCACTGAAAGACCATCGTGACAGGGTGTGGTCACAGAAGACCCTTTAGGGGTGTTTCCCAGCATGCTGACCAGGCCACTGCTACTCACCTTCTTGCTCTCTAGGACTTCTCACTGCTCTGTCCTGCTGGGCCAGCTATGTGGTCTCCCACAGCCAAGCAACAGAGCTGAGATCACTGCTCCCCTGAGAAGCAGTACAGACACTAAAACTCTTCAGGTCCAAGGAAAATGCAGTTTTGGGCCCAGGTTCTCAGGATATCACTCCCCAAATGGGATCAGAACCCCAAGTGAATTATTAGGTAAGCACCTTTAAACAATGAAAGGGGGAATGCATGCACTGATTGCTCCCCCAGGCAACAATTATTTACACTGGGCTTGATAATAAATAAAAGTGATTTTACTAAGTAGGATAAGCTGCAGGATCTAAGTGGTAATAAGTGAGAACAGGCAGAGCAAAGTAGATTACAAATTTAAAATAACAGCAAACATTTTAGCTAATTCTAACACTAAAACCTCAGTACAAGCTTATTACACATTCACCTTAAAACTGTTCCTTTTCCAGCTAAGCCGTCAAACCAGGGTCTCCCACTCATTGGGGTCTTTGCTTCAGTCCCTTGAATGTGCCATGCCAGCCAGCAACAAAAACCTGCTAGTTTGCTATTGTTTTAAAGATTCCCACTTCTGCCTGGTCAGTCCCTACCATTTAGGGAGAGCATGTGACTTCCTAAGACCTAAGGACAAAAGGCTATTTACATATGATTGCTCAGATATTGAGGCATCCCAGCATTGAAAACACCCTTGATGGCTTTCCTTTGCACATTTAAAACCATAAAGCATTCCGTACTCCTTAAGTCTAATTTTTTTTTACACACAAGAATGATGCATATATCAAAGTAAGATAAACAGATCCAGTGAATTATGACATGAAGATTGATAGATTACAGGAGGCAATTTGTCCCAAGCATCTTTGAGTTATGTATATTTGTGTCCATAAGTCCATTTCATAAAGCATGGGAGAGTCTGTCAACCATTACTTCATTGATCATGGAAAGTACTCTAAGTGTAACCATCTGACTGCAGCATTGTCAGTTCACACAGCAGCAAATCCTGCTGCAACAAAAATAGTGAAGAATGCCTGGGACTGAAGCGTGTATTGTTTGTGTGCTGTCTCTATTATGTGGGTGCATGGTCAGGATTACCAATGAATTTTTTATTTAAATCCCGGCTTCATTGACTATGTCAGGTAGTCTAATTTACATGCCTCTGGCGACAGAGGCATGTAGTCTAGACATACCCTATGTTTCAGATCTTTTAAGGTCTTGATCGAACGCTTGTTGAAACAAATGTAAAGATGCTTTTTATAGTACAACCTTTACTAAAGATTAATTTTAAAAAAATCTTAAGATGAGTCTAATATGTTTGTTATTCTTCTACTGCTGTGTCCACATAGAGTTGAGGATAATATTTTCAATGAGAATTTTTCTATGATAACTACATATTCATTTCTAGATCAGTATAAGTTGAATCTCACTAATCCAGAACTCTCTGGTCCAGAAACATCCATCATCTGGAATAATATTAGTTATTTGGATGTCTACTTTTCATAGGTGTAGCCAAGTTTCCCATGGTCCTATAAAGTTGTTCATAGTCACCAGTCCTAGCTCTCAATGTTCTGAGCTATTATTTAGCTCTAATTTACCTCTAAATATCCTCTAACAGCTCAGTAAGCAGTGGAAGTGTTGGTAATACTAGTAGACAATATTGACCTCCTGTGGTCCAGAAATTTGTCTGGTTCGGAACCGGTCAGGTCCTGAGGGTTCTCGAATAAAGAGATTTAATTGTACTGCATTATCATTCTATTTATGATCAGTTCTCTCTACCTTTATTTCCTTCAGACTTATCCTGTACTTGTGCACATTGAACTAAAACATCTAAATCCCCAAGAATCTGATTGCATTGCTCCTCTATTTGCTGTTACGTTTTCAAGTTCATAATATTTTATAAAATGTTTATGAATATCTTAACTATAATATTACAAGTTGTGGAAGAAAACAAGCCTTCACTCTGTGTTGTGTTTAAGCAACAAGTAGCCAGAGGCAGTTTTATTATGAGCTGCAGCAAGGGAAAAACTGGTTCAGACAGGGGGGAGCCCCCCCCCCCCCCGAGGCAGATCTTCGAATACAAGCAATTATGAAGCAGTTTATATACTGTCTATTAGATATAATAACAACAACTAGTCTCCTTCCCATTACAAACACCAATGATTAACAGTTATTTTAGTTCCACCCAGATGCTCCATATCTCAAGGTCCATGCCAGAGTCAGCATTCTGTCCTTATCTCCGTATGGAGGCAAGAGGCAAAGGCAGCGTCTAATTACAGATCTCACGTTGTCAGGCCACAGACTTAGCCTGACTCTTGCTCTCTTGTTAACAAGACCAAGATGGCTGCACACAAATTCCCTTATTCCCTTTTACATATCTTACAAATCAGATCCTGCAAGTAGTTTTTTTTTAAATCTGCACTGATTGCCCTGACCTACTTCCTATTGTTTAGAAAATTCCTACCTTTGAGAGAGATCGCCTAGATATAAATGAGAGAGCCAGCAGTATCCCTCCCAACGGAAAGCTCATCCTTTGTATGCATGACTTCTATGATAGGTTACATGCACCGTAGCATTTCTTTTTCTTGTCTTACCTTTGGTGAAATTCTGCTCTTTCGAATCAAATTATGTACATGATGGTATCATTTAAACACATTTTTTCTAATATATTTTTAGTAGATTGTAACTTTTGCTGACACTGCTTTATTATTAGATGCTTGCCTTGGAGGCAGGTTGAACAGGGTCTGAATGACC